CTACAGTTGTGATTGTGTAATTTCAGTGGACAATGTGCTAGTGGACTGCCCTTTGTACACCCTAGAACGACTTCAAGCTGGATTACCCACTTCATCCAATGAGTGCTTAAACGGCTTCAATAATGATAAAACTGTAAACTTTTTACAAAATACAGGACTATTTCACAATATATAGAGTAACATATTAACATTTATGTAATTTATTGTACCATGCTAATAACCCCTAGTGGTTGAAGCAATTTTGTAAATAAAAAAAAAAAAATTCTAAATCTAAGCCTAAATATAAATATCAAAATAAAAAGTCAAGGAAAAAACAACAAAATTAGTTATATTAATATAAAAATGGATTGTAATATTGTTTTCATGAACTAAAATAAGCATTGTATGCGAGTATGCATCCGTGGACTACGGCTGTTGGATATGGATCATCAAGCAACACGAATTTAAATACACATATGAAAATAATCTAGGGACAAAAACAAAATGCTAGATTACAGAAGGATTTGAAATAATTTATTTTAAATATTTTTATTAAAAAGTTGTAAACAAGTGTAACAAATATAAATTAAACATTTTTTCTTAGAATTATAGCAATAGCTCTTAACTAAATTAAAAGAGAAATCCATAAGTAAAAATATGGTTATAATAAAAAATAAAAAACTAATTTTTTGACACTCCCAACAAAGTAGTCCTTAGGTTAAGTTAGTACAGTGTATGACCTTCATAGTTGTTGATTACTGTCCTACATCTGTAAGGCAAACTCATAATCAGATGGTCAATGTCTTGCTGAGGTATTCTGTTCCACTCCATTGAAATTCCCTTATACTGTTGCTGTGTTGTATTAAACGCAATATTTAGTTGTAAAATGAGTCTACTCAATATGTCCCATACATGCTCAATTGGGTTTAAATCTGGAGATTGTGAATGTCATGATAAAACCTCAATATAATGATCTTCGAGTAAAGTTCGCACGATTCTGGCTATATGCGGACGCGCATTGTCGTGCATTACTTGAAATTGGGAACCAGCTTGTTGTGCAAAGGGTACGAAAATAGGTTGGAGAATAATATTGCGGTAGTCTGTTGCATTTAAAAATAGTTCCAGATCAACGAGATTGATTTTTCTACCAAGAGTGATGTCACCCCTACCGTTATACTACCGCCTTGCTGTCTATGAACCTCCTACACATTAGCCAATGGTTCAGATCGTCTCCAAATTCTTGTTCGTCTTGTACCTGGTACAAATCCAAATCGGTACTCGTCTGTAAACAAAATAGAAGCCCACTCACGTCTAACCCAATTTGCGTGTTCTTGTGCCCATTGAAGTCGATGAGTGGATAACACAGGCACTTTCACAGGTTTTCGATCATTTAACCCTACTTCATGCAATCTATTTCTAATGGTTTGGCGTCTGATGCGTCTCTTGTAGCCTCATTTGTATTTGTGATGCAGTTATAGTCCGATCTCGAAAAGCCTGCAACCTAATAAAACGGTCTTCAATCTAGTTGGTTATTCTTGTATGACGGTTAGTAACATCGCTACTTTCTTGACACCTTATTCTTGTATGACGGTTAGAACCAGAAACGATTAATGACACTTCTGTTCGTGTGGAGAACCTCAGCATGCAGGCAGAAGTCCTGCAGGGGACTTCTGTCAGCTCGAAGCATCCCAATAGCACGCCACTACGTTCGCGATTTAAATGATGTCTCTCCATTATTGGCAATTGCAAAACTAAATAAAAATCCACATAGACATCGAAAAGCAGGTACCTGTAAAGAAATATTACTTTCTATCTTATAGACAAAAAACTCATATTGAAGTTTTGTTAAATTTTTATAGTCTTTCTGATCAGGATTATTGTCCAAGTTCATACAATAATCGATAAAACAACAAAAAAATTTAAAAACATAAATTTATTTTTGTCTTTGCAGCTAACATTGACGTTACAGTTATTAATAAAGGTGTCCTCTAGATTATTTTGATGGGTGTATATTAGATCGTGTACAATACAGATGCTTCAGAATATGTTTAACTTCAATGGTATCAACTCTGTAACACGGCTTTATTTTTTAAGATTAGGGGTCTCGACCAACGGACAAGACGAATCCTCAAACTCAAGAGGGTCGAGTCTCAATAGATCATCGCGTGTAATATTACTTTACCAAGTACAACACCCTGGTACTAAATCACAGAATACACCACCCACAAATTGATTGGCTAGTATATTATGTGTTAAATCTGTAAAATCAATACAGATGTTAAAATCTATTGAGACAGAAAGAGTGGTGGCATCTAGTGACTGTCTCAATTAGAATTAAACAAATTTATTTTTGGCGTTAAACAACTATTCTTTTTAAAACAATGGTTTTACAGTTTAGAATATAGTCTAGAAAAAAGCGATAAAAAACTCACATTATGTAATAGCTCCCTTCTTCTTCTTAAGTGCCTTGTCCGTTGCGAAAGTTGGCTATTAACATGGCAATTCTGATCTTGTTTGCGGCGCTTCTGAATAGTTCGACCGATGTGAACCCAAACCACTTCCGCAGATTTTGGAGCCACGAGTGTCTTCTCCTGCCTGGCCCTTGCTTACTGTCTATTTTTCCCTGGGCAATCAATTGCAGCAGACGGTACTTATCGTGTCTCAATATGTGGCCTAGATATTCAAGCTTTCTTTGTTTAATTGTATTCACGATTTCTTTCTCCTTTCCGATTCTTTGGATTACTTCTATGTTGGTGACATGTTCGGTCCAGGATATACGAAGAATGCGTCGGTACACCCACATTTCGAATGCTTCTAGTTTTCTCGTGAGTGTCTCTGTCAGCGTCCAGGCCTCCACACCATACAGTAAGATCGGAAAAATGTAGCATTTAACTGGACGTAGTTTTAGGAAAAGAGACAAATTCTTGCTTATGAGAAGCTTTTTCATATTGCTAAATGCTGCTCTAGCTCGTTCTATTCTCGCCTTAATTTCTGTGGCCTGTTCCCATTTTGCATTTACGTTGGTGCGAAGGTACACATAAGATTCTACATGGTCAATTAGTAGGTTATTTATCCGTAATTTTCGAGCAGGCTGTTGTTTCCTGCTTATCAGCATCCACTTTGTCTTCTTGAAGTTGAGGCTCATGCCGTATTCCTCACTAACTGAATAAACTCTTTGCATTACCTGCTGTAATTCGTCTATGGTACTGGCAAGGATCACCGTGTCGTCGTCATATCTTATATTGTCCGTTAACTCGCCGTTTATTTTTATGCCCTCATTTGCATTTTCCATACGTTTGTTAAATATTTCCTCGGAATAAATATTGAATAGGAGTGGGGATAATATACACCCCTGACGGACACCTCTTTTGATCGGCACACTTTCAGTGAGTTCGTTACTAATTTTTGCTCTTGCTGTTTGACCCCAGTATAGGTTTGCCACAATTCGAATGTCCTTGTCGTCAATACCTGTCTTTCGCAGAATATCTACCAATTGTTCATGATTGACATTGTCAAATGCTTTTCTAAAATCCACAAAGCACAAATACACATCCTTATCGACGTCTCTACACCGCTGTATAAGCACCTGTAGAGCGAAAATTGCTTCTCTAGTTCCAAGTGCTTTCCGAAAACCAAACTGCGATCTATCAATATTTGACTCACATTTATCATATATTCTTCTATGAGTGATCTTAGTGAACGCTTTAGTGATCAATCATCACAGATCTTTGCATTTGGTTTCTTGGGATTGAAATAAATGTTGACTGCAGCCAGTTCTCCGGGATTTTACCGCTATTATATATGTTGTTAAAAAGTACAACTAGATTATCAAGGAACTGTTTGTCTGGTTTACATAGGATCTTTAATATTTCGCAGGGTACATTATCCAGACCTGCTGACTTATTGTTTTTTAGTGCTGCAATGGCATCTTCTATCTCCGATTTAACGATTAAAGGTCCTGTTGCTCCTTCTTCATATAGGTGATCATCAGTCCTGTCAGATGCAAATAATTTTTCTATGTATGCTTTCCATGTTTCTAAGATCGTTGATGGCTCCGAGATAAGATTTCCATCGCTATTTTTTATGCTGTTGGGTGACTTATGGAATTTGTATTGTTCTATTTTCCTGCATTCGTTTCAAAACCATTTTTCTTTGGCTTCTCGAATTTTCGTTCTTATGATTTTGTGGATCTGCTGGTATTTTTCTGCAATATATCAATTTTTAATCTTTTCATCTATTTAACAATGTTATGAATTTTGCCGCTCTCGTACATACTTCGTACATTCCAAGTTCCAATTCTTAGGTGTTGAGGAATTGCTTCCTTTTTTAGGCCGTAGGGATTTCGCTGGCTGACGACCAGGGAGGCCCTACTATTTGTTTGCGTGCATCCTACCCTGCCGGGTCTTGGGATTCGATCACCATGATCAGTAATGTTTTTGTTATCGTAGTATTGCCATGATAACTATTCTAGGAAATTCTTATGGGGTGGTTTTCCATTGCCTTCCCCTTCGCAGTACCATAACTATTCAAACTGCTCCAGTCATACTTGTGGTAGTCCAGTTTCAAGCCGATCCACGATCATTTCCTTTTCGCCTTGAGCTGGTACTGATGATCGCTGCTGCCCTTCATCAGGGTATCACTCGGTAAACACTCGGTGAAATTTTCGCCATATCTGGCTACCCTCACTTAGTTTAGCCTGCAGACCAATGCAGTTGCCCGGGATGTGGCACGTGGAGTCATAAGTGAGAGTTAGGTGTCTTATGAGGACCATTTATCTAGAACCATCTCCCGTCTATGATGCTCGATGTGGTCGTTACAATAAAAGCTACTACCTCTATGGCAGTACCTTTTATTGTAACGACCCTACACCCCAGGTGTAGGGTTGTGCTATAGAGGTAGTATCTTTAGCTGCCCAGTAATACGAATATTAAGTAATTCTCTTTAACTACTATTTAACTATTTTCAGTCTTAAACATAAGTTATTGGATATACATTTTAATTTGGTTTTTGTAATATTTTAGATATTATCTGACATACTTTACAAAATTCCAACAGAGACAAATGCTAAGCTTATGTCTAAATACACAGATGTATATTTCTACCAATTTGGGTATTTGGGTCCAATAAATGGGATAAATTTTTGGAAACAATTTAGTACATATGGACTTAAAGGTATGAATTTACAATTTTAAAATTATAACTGGTAGGAAACGAATAAATATACTATACTAACAAAGATGTACTACAGAAATAATTTGTCGATAAAAATAAATAGGTTTTGCCTATAATATTTGTTTGTATTTCAAGGACTTGGAAATTGTGCTCACGGAGACGAACTACCGTTGCTATATGATTTTAATTCAATTAGACCAGTGGAACCTCCCAACGATTTGGACATATTAGTAAGAAAACGGTTGGTAAAGATATGGACCAATTTTATTAAATACGGGTAAGAATTCAAGTAAAACTACAATCAATAAATCAGTTGGAACAGTTAAAGTTATTGAAAATTTGACATCTAATGTTTATAGTAAATACAAAATACAGCCTTTAACTTTTTTACTCACAGTGTTCTGCAAAATATTCTTTCAAAAACAGTACCAAGCATACTCTTTTGCCGTTTGCATACACTATGAGATAAGTGAGTTAAACATAAAAAACCAAGTACGAGTGAGGAATAAAAACATTCGTATTTCTCTTCTGGTGAACTCCATTACTTAAGACCTGGAAAAGGAAAAGAGAAAGCCCTTTTCGCTTTAGACATTTCATGAGAATGTTTTGTTAAACTTTGTCGAAACGTTTCTCTTAGTCTATAGTTGCGACGAAAAGATCATTTTGTTAGTAGCGACATTTTTAAACAAGAGTTGTGAAACTACACAGAGCTTCTACTTTTCCGAAGCCATTACGAAAGCAAAACTGTCCATTACTAATATCCGCTTCACACTTCACGCTTTCACAATATTCTTGTATATATAAAATTAAAAAATGGTTTTTATAATTGTGACATTAAGCTGATTAATCTATAGTCATTACAATGCTTAGGATTCTTGGTTTTTTGGCAGACGAAATAAAAGTCGATAGTAGCTATTCTGTAGGTAGGTACTAAACACTTTTTGGTTTTTTAAATATCTTAGCTTCTGCTTGTTTTCCATTAATTTTTCAATATTTTTCACATCCTTTATTTCAATTCTCATGACTTTTCTCAAAATTTCCTTGCAGATTTCACGTCTATCTGAATTTCCAAGTGTGGTTCCATGAAACTGCCTATTGCGCTTTCAGTTTGTCTGCAGCTGTTGCATCGATTGTTGGTCCTGTCATTTTGAAATTCTTTTTTTTTCTGCAACCATTCTATCTTTTTTTGCAAGTCTTTTAGTTCTTCTAGGTTTTTTTAATTTTCTTTTATTACTTATTCATATTTTCTTGTTTAACTTTCGTCACATTATATGATTTTAAATTTTATTGAGTAGGTATGGCTAGAAGACCTAGCGCAATAAAACTTAGAGAACCGTCACTAAACGGTACCTAACTCACGTTGATTTACTTACAGACTATTTACTTATTACTCTGTATATAGAGTAGATTGTAAACATGCAAGGCAACAATAAAAAAAAATTATTGTATAAAAATCTTGAATATATTGCCTGTGTAAGTCCATTTCAAATTAGGTAAACAGAAATAAGAATAAGACTTATTTACAATTAATTTTTTCTAGCACAGACGACCGCTTTCACATACGTAATACTTACTATAAGTAAGTTCTCTTCTTCTTTTTATGTAGACATGACTGTCTGTTTTTCAATGTTTCTCCACTAAGTTGTCGTTCCTTCGTCTACGTGGTATTCCTACTGATCGCCTTCCTATTGGGGAACCGTTGCTTGCCGTCTTTACTACTATATTTGTTGTCATTTGACTTATATGATGGTTGCATTCTACTGTTCTATTCATTACCCATTATTTTTATTTCTATTATTACTACCTTACATCACAATAATTTATTATGCCAAAAAAGACCAGGATTGTATCTTTATTAACTTAATAATTATACCTCGCATCATTTGCACATCCAAAACAGCTATCTTATTCAACCTTGTTACAGTGTTGTCATTTCAAGACTAGTTATTTAAATAAATAACACACATCTCAAAATATATCTCTAGAATAAATAACTTTTAAATAATATAACATCACTCTAAATTTTTACCAAAAAATGATTTTCATAACTACATTCCTATCTTAGTTGTTAATATCACCCTTCCCTTCAAGAACTTTCTCGATATTCGTCAAATAGTGCAGTAAAACCGATGATTATCTGTCTCTAGATTACCATAATGGAGTTTTAAACTATGTTTTCTCAAACATTTATTAATAATCCTTGTATGGGCATGTAAAGCATGTATTAACTAGAATTTACACTTATTGAATGGCAGACATACAATATTGGCATAATTCCTATATATTTTGTACCAGGCAGCACTCTAATAAGGGTTATTGTCGGTGGTAGAATAAATTGATTGTAAGTCTTATCTTTTTCAAGATCAAAGAACGGATTATAGGCATCCATTTTCACAGAGGATGACGGGCCCGGACATACTTAAATCCGAGGTAGAAGAAGCAATAAAACGGATGAAAAGCAGGAAAGCTGTAGGGCCTGATAATATCGAAGCTGAATTTTTAAAACTCTTGGAGGAAGAAGGAATAATTTGGATCACAGCTGTCTTCAATAAAATATACAATACAGGAATCATCCCTGATAAATGGCTAGAATCAGAATTCATAGCGATACCTAAAAAACAGGGGGCTAAAAAGTGCGAAGAATATCGAACAATCAGCCTAATGAGCCATATGTTGAAACTGTTTCTTAGAGTCATCCATGAAAGAATTTATAAGAAGTGCGAGGAACAAATATAGGACAGACAGTTCGGCTTCATTAACGCAGTGGGTACTAGAGAGGCACTTTTCGGAGTACAGGTACTGATTCAAAGATTCAGGGACGTTAACTGCGACGTATACGCGTGCTTGATCGACTATGAAAAGGCATTTGACAGAGTTCAACATCAAAAGATAATAAACATTTTAAAAGAGGCAGACCTGAATGACAAAGACCTCAGAATAATTTCAGAACTCTACTGAAATCAAACCGCATACATGAAAATTAACGGAGAAGAAACAGATCACATAAAAATACTACGTGGAGTTAGACAGAGATGTATCCTATCGCCGTTGATATTTAATATGTACTCAGAGAAAATTTTTAACGAGGCTCTTTACGGAATAGACGAAGGCATCCTAAATGGTAAAAGAGTAAACAATGTTAGAAATGCCGACGACACCATGGTGATAGCAGATGGTTTAGAGGGACTTCAGAGGCTAATGGACAGAATAAACGAGTACAGTCAACAGTACGGACTAAACATTAATACCCACAAAACGAAACAAATGATTATCACCAAGGAGAATATAAACGGGGCTCATCTATACATTAATGGGACGCAGATAGAGCGACTAAAACAGTATTGTTACCTGGGAACTATTATTAACGAACAGTGGAGCAATTTATAGGAAATAAAGTGCCGCATAGGAAAGGCAAGAACGATCTTTAACAAAATGAGCGCCATCTTCAAAAGTCACAACATATCCCTTGATACAAAAATGAGACATTTGAGATGCTATGTTTCTCTGTGTTGTTGTACGGGGCGGAGGCATGGACGCTTACAGACACCACTATTAAAAAACTTGAAGCATTTGAGATGTGGCTTTATAAAAGAATGCTGAAAATATCATGGACAGCAAGGATCACGAACAAGGAAGTTCTAGGAAAAATGAAGAAGGAACCAGAGATTGTGTTTACGATCAAACGCATAAAATTGCAATATCTGGGACACGTTATGAGAAATCAGCACCGTTACTCCCTGCTACAGTCTATATTGCAAGGTAAAGTCAAAGGTAAGCGAGGACCCGGTAGAAGGAGAATATCATGGCTGCGTAATTTAAGAACATGGTTTAAGAAAACCTCAACGGAGCTGTTTCGAGCCGCAGCGAGCAAGGTTATGATTGCCAATATGATTTCCAGCATCCGAAACGGATAGGAACCAGAAGAAGAAGTCTTATCCTTATTTCTCTTTACCTAATTGTATAAATTTTAGATAAGTATATCAGGGATTTTTATAATGTGCTTTATGACAAATACGTTTATAATCAATGGGTAAATACAAGTCCCTATTTCTCATTGTTCTCTCGATAGCGCTATGGACGAAATGAACTTTAATTTGGCTGTGCTTTCCAGAGAAAAAAAATATTTTTTTCTCTGTGGTATTGTACACATTAATAGAGCATTCGAGAATAAGTAGTTTTTATTTTGATATCTACTATTATGCAATTTTGACTTGATTCGATACCACCATGACTTGCATTCTTAAGGTAACAAGTAATATTCCCATTAATAAGATAATAAATTGTGTATTATTTACTATCCTTATTCCAAATTAACCACAATTTCAGTTATAAATTAGTTTATTTTGATGTTTTGATCTCCACTTCGAAACTCGTTCTTAAAATACAAATTTAAAGCTTGTATTTTTGGGAACGATTTCCGATTTTTATTTTCATTTTAGAAATCCAACTCCCAATGAAGATCCTTTACTTCTAAACATTACTTGGAAAAAGATGACACCTGCGGATAATAATTATTTTAATATTGACGGTAAATTGGCTTTAAAGAAAGATATTAATTATTTTAATGAATGGTTAGAAAAAGTTGATCAGTATTTCGAAAACCCTAGACGATGGTTTTAACATATTAATATATTATATAATTTATTCATAAATCAATAAAATAAAATATAATTGTATTTTGACTTAAACTAACCCCATTTTTTGTTAACTTTCTCTGTCTATCTTTTAGTCAAAAGAGTCGATACACGGTGGAGGGGGAGTAAGGAAATTTTCCCTTTTGAAGAAGGTCTACAATTATAGAAAACTTATTATTTATGTCTTTTGTGTATTTTAGGTTTATCTTTTTTATGTGTTTTGGTTGGTGTTTTATTGGAAGTTCCCCTCCCAATACAAATGTCTAGATCTGCCACTGAGTCAAATATTCACAGTACAAACAGGATCAATCTCGTGAAATATCTTCAATGGAAGAGGTTTCTTGGAAAACCACAAAATTCCGATAAGAACGTGCTTACATATACTTCGCGAGATCAGTTAATAAGAACTACAGTGGTGGTTCTACTGTGGCTCCCTCAAGCCAGTGGTAGAACAGCGTGGCTCGAAAGCTTGATTTAACATAGAAACACCGTTACCGAGTTAAGCGGTTGCTGAGTCGCTTATAAGTTGCCTGCTATGCGAACACTGTGCCGGACCACCAACTTATAAATAGTCTGCAAGGAATAGGTATAGGTAGTGCTCCTTAGCACTTTGTTTTTGAATTGTTGGATGATGTCTAAAGTACTCTTAATAGCACAAGCCCACAGCTGGATTTCATATGTCCATATAGATTTTAGAATCTGTTTATACCAAAGTATTATGTTGTAGATTGACAGGAAGGATTGTCTTCCCAACAGCCAATATATTTTATATACTTAATGTTAAGTTGTTTTTTTAACCTGAGCCCTCCAGCTTAGCCTAGCGTCTAATTTATTACCCAAATATTTTTTTGAGTATTAATTGATTTTATTTCGTTTTATTTAAATCGCCAGCGTTTAGTCCAGTTATTAAGTCTGTTAACAGAGGTGTGTAGTTTTCTTGTTGCTTCTTTGTTATTTTTACCTATGGCCAACACGGCAGTATCATCAGCAAAGTTAGCTATTGTGTTATGATCTAATACAGGGATATCACTGATGTATAATAGGTACAGAATTGGTCTCATTACACTATTATTAAAACCTATTAATATGGAAAGTGCAGTTAATACTATGGCAGAAAGTTTTGATAAAATTACTTTTAAGAATCAAAAAAAGTCAAATAGTTCTACATAGGTCTACTGTGTTTTAAAAAGACAGTCAAAAAGTGAAGCAAGGTTATCGATGTGGAGTCTGAACCCATGATTCAGGTAAGTGTCCAGCAAAGTCCTAGAAATGCTTTAAATGCAAAATAAAAGATCATACATGTCGTGTATTTCTATGTTGTTGACCAATATAATTCATACGGACTACGAACAAACAAGGGGTCACTTAACTATCAAATAGGCGAATAGTCCGTGGAGCTCACATGAAGTCTTAATAAATAAGAAGCATAATTCCATTCGTTTTTGTATCTACTACCACCAGCTCAATGCGGTAACAAAAACAATTTTTGTCGAGAATGAATAATATGTCGGATACTCTCTCCGGGTCTTAACACTACATTCGACTTAAAAAGTAGCTACTTATTAGCAAGTAAGAATAAAGTTAGCTGAGAGGATAGGATCAGGTCTTAGCCAATTTACGATTATGTCTTTTGGTCTATGTCAATGTAATGTTACTGCTGTATGTGAGATGGTTATAGAGGAGGTAGATAGTTTTGAGAGGGCTGAAATGGTTTTGAAAAATGTTAGAAAAGTGTTTCACCAATTGCGTGCAGCTAATCTTAAAAATGAACTCAAACAAGTCTTACATGTTTCTATGAGAAGTTAGATATCGTATCCCTTAATGTACTAATCATCGATAAGTCACCGCTACGCCTGATTATGAAAGATCACATTTTTAGTTTTATGTTTAGTTTTAAGTAGGTATTACCTTATTGTACCTACAAGTAAAAAATAAATAGAACTAACCAAAGAACCATATTTTATTACCTACCAACACTTACATAAAATAGATACTTAGACCACAAAAATTTTATCGACAAATGAAATATATATAGATATATATATTATTTAGGTAGGTACGTTAATTTTAAAGCAGGACAAAAATCAAGCTGTTATAAAATTTAAGATTCAAGAAACGTTTACCATCCATTTCAAGATGATGAACACTCATCTATTAGATAATGTACGACCAAAATATAGTTCCTCTTCAAAGCATTATCGATGTGCTTCGTGGTGTCCTGGAACTCCGGGAAAGACTGTTTTACATTGAAATCATTTCAGGAGAGTTGTTTTAAGGCCGTTCCTTGCGTTTCTGGGCATACCTAAGTTCCAATGTAAAAGTTTATATCAAATAACGCAAAAACTATGGCAGATATTGAGATGATTCTTTTTTTATATGAAAGGTCTTAAAAAGTTCTAGTGCACTATTTAGTTGTAAATTAATAAATTGTTTAAACAATTTTTTTTTTCAAATATTTTTGGTTAAAATAAACGTAAAAAATTTTTTTTTTAAATAGGGCACTACAGAATTTGACCCACTTTCCGAATCTGTTTTTATTTTTAACATAAAGTGTAACACAAAGCAGCTATTTGGTATAAACTTTTTTTAAAATCTCAAATTTTGCTAAATGTAACTTTCTCTCTCGGCCAGTACAGGCTGTCCTTGTCGATAGTTTCTGGATTCTCGTCGACACGGTTAGGTTGGTTAGGTAAGAAGTATAATACCCTCTCGAAGGTGGGTCATAAATAATGTTGAATAACATTATTAGGGTTAATTTCGACTTTTGACAAACCAGTGTGTTAATTGTTTTTAAAATGGGTAGTTCACGAAGAAGTTTATGTTCCGATTGAGGAAATTTTATATAAATAAGCAGTACCTATAATAAGTACCTATAATTTGATTAAATTTTTATATGAATAGAAATATTTTCTGTTAATTTGTAACATTTTCCTTCTAAATGTTTATACTGTTTTTATAATAATACTATTGTTTCAGTATTTGCTTATATAATAATTTATTATGTAGAAACAGCGTAGAATTTTGGTCAATCAGCCAGTACATTTTTTTGTATTTCAATCAGAATTATTATTTTCTTTTCTTCTTTACATAAAAGCTTAGAGTAATATTCAAATATTTTGCAGTATTTGAATACGGAATTTGATTATTTATATTTATTGGACAATATCCAAATATTTTGCTGTATTTGAATATGGAATTTGATTATTTATATTTATAGGAATATTTATTTTCAACGTTTTTGTTAGTAAAGTTTACATAATATATGAAGTTTGTTTCTTCACTTGCTTGTACAGCCATATTAGTCCAGGCTAATAAGGATTTTCTCGTGACACTCAATAATCCAGGTAGCTGACAACTTTTTTAATTATTGTAGACCTATAAGAAGAAAACCTACCTGTTTCCTGCGTAAAGTTCGGAGCCGTTTTTTAATAATTAACAATTAATGCAAAAAACGCGATTCTTTCGATTTTTGCACTCTATTATTTATTTATTTATTTTTACGCACAATAGGCCGTTAAGGCCTAAAGCATTTTTTTTACAACATAATTCTAATATTAACTAATTACAATTATTTTAAACAAAACTTTAACGAAAATATGTATATATAACATTCTTAACTACTTTGAAGGACCTGGTGTACAATATTTTTCCATTCGCTTCTATTTTGTGCTTTTTTTTCCATTCCCTCACCTTCACGTGTTTAAGGTCTTCCTCCGCTTTACTAATCCACCTCGTTCTGGGTCTACCTCTTCTTTTGGGGTCACCCTGCCAAGCAGGGTGCTAACAGGTGAAGATGCTAACAGAGTAATGCCTCTGTAGTTCTTACAATCCAGTTAATCGTCCTTTTTATGCAACGTATATTATTTCATTTAGCCACTCTTCTGGAACAAATTCATTTTGCCATATAAGTACTATTAGTTTATGGGTTACTGCAAAAAGCTGATCATCACTTTTTTTTATATATTTTCCAACAGATTTAATCGATTCCTGTGGCTTTATTGTCTTTGAGTTTTAGGACGGCATTTGACACTTCTATTATTGTTGGGTGTTCACTGTGTAGTTGTCGATGTAGATTTTGTTGATTGTCTATGTTGTAACCTCTTTCAATATCGTTTATATCATATATTATATAAATATATATAGGTATATATATATATATATATATATATATATATATATAAATATATAAATATATATATATATATATATATATATATATATATAATATGATATTGTGATGTATTGGCAACCCTGCAGTGCGGTTACGTCACAATCAGCTGAGAAAACACTCAGGAAGACAGACGCGACGATGACCTATTTAATATATTTGTTATTTTGCATTACGTTTTGGAGTGATCATTAAAGTCGGTAGTATTTCCTATACTGTGTTTATTATTTACACCCGGTCCGATACATATTATTTGGCGACGAGGATGGGATCCGTGTGTGTGCCAGTTTAAGTGCATTATTTCGTCCCGGTGATAAATAAAGCAAAGTGTGTGCAGGATGGCGGCATTCGGAAACATCGAACAGTTTAACGTGGGTGACTCCAAAGGTTGGGAATCATACGTCGAGCGTATGGATTTTTTCTTCTTGGCAAATAACATTACAGACCCTGATAGGAAAAAAGCTACATTTTTAAGTTTGTGTGGTCCCAATACATATGAGATTATTAGATCTTTGGTCGCGCCGTCCAAAGTGTCTGATAAAACTTATGACCAAATCATAGTTGAATTAAAAAAGCATTTTTCTCCAAAAACGTCGGAAATTGTGTGCAGGTTTAAGTTCTATCGTCGGAATCAACAGACTGGTGAAACAATATCTGTGTATCTGAAGGAATTACGAAAATTGGCAGAACCCTGTGGTTTCGGAACTAGCCTTGACATAATGCTACGTGACCGACTCGTTTGTGGTATTACCGACGAATCGCTACAGCAAAAGTTGCTAGCCACAGATAAGTTAAAACTTAAGGACGCGCAAGACCTA